GAAACATCATTGCAGAATTTGTATGTGGGAGTAGCGATAAAAGAAGTATGCTATCACTGTGAGCCCCTTGGAAAGCTGCGAGTTCAAAACTCTCTCCACATCCTACTTGTAGTATTGCAACAGACAACAATGAGCATATGGGAAACAAAAATGCTGATATATAGTTAGAGAACGTACGAAATAAAGATGGTTTAGATGAAGCAGAGAGCTCCCTGTGGAAGATATTTAACTAATTAGACATTTTCGGAGTGAAAAAATCCCTTGCTCAAAGAAAGATAAGTATGTTTTTATATTCCAGGAACCTCTGAAATTTTAAAAAAGGCAACTAGGGCTTTAAACTGGAAGGAGTCAGATCAGACCCTAGTATCCCCAAGCCCCAAATCCCCCAGCCTCTTAGGATTTATGGGGCACTGGCAACCCAGTTAATGACAATTTCTTTATGAAATGCACTGCAAAGCAACACACGAGTACTGTTTTCCAGTGCTGCACTTCCTCTGCTTGCACAAGAGAGAAAACACTTGGACAAAACCCATCCAAGTCTTACTGCTTTTAGGCCTTTCCCCTATGGGTGACACGCTGCCATGCCCGTGCACCGCACTTTAGGTCTGCGAGATTCCCAGAGAAACGGGTTGGCCGGAATGTTTGCCACGCTGGAGATGCTGCCTTTGGTTCTTCCAGAAGTAGCATCCCTCAGGACATCCTTCCTGGAGAATGAGAGATAACACTGCTGTCAAGAAGCCTTTTATAAAAACATGGCACCTGTGCACAAGATTTACCCATCTTGGGATAACCGATTGGTAATTATTCAGCTCATCTGACCCATCTATATAACTCTGGAACACTGCTCTTTCCAAATGGTCAGAAAAAGAACAATAAAAAGTCCTCGTATCACAACATTTATTGAAAATTAGTATCAGAAATTGGGAACCCCACAACTGTTAGTCCAAATAATGTGGAAATGGTGATTTTTAGAAGTTTAGGAGAGTGCACCAACCTCCTCTGTTACTATTCGAACAGGAGAGGGGAGGGTGGGCATCAGAGCCGGGAGAGGTAAGCTGGGTGACAACGCCTCACCCAGTTTACCCATTACCAAACACCAGCTTGCGTCGTTGAACCAAAATGCCGCATTTCAACCCCAAAACAACCCCTCTCCCCACCGCAGGGCCCCCGCGCCTCGCCGCGCGCCCAAGATGGCGGC